CACTCACTCTCTCTCACACTCACACACACTCACTCTCTCTCACACTCACACTCTCTCTCTCTCACACACACACACACACACACACAGGTTTACATTTGTGAAAAGTGGGGACATCCCATAGGCGTAATGGTTTTTATACTGTACAGACCGTATATTCTATTGCCCTTTAACAACCCTACCCCTAAACCTACCCCTTACAGGAGACTTTGTGCTATTTCAGATTTTCAATACACTCCATTCTGTGTGATTTATAAGCGTTTTGAAAAGTGAGGACATGGGGTAATGTCCTGAAAAGTCACCTTCTCCTTGTAATACCTATGTCATACCTTTGTCATTATACAAATTTATGTCCTCATTTGTCACAAAAACGCGTACACACGCGCACACACACACACACTCTCACTCACTCTCTCACACGCACACACTCACACTTGCACACTTTAAACGTTTCATTCATAAGGCAGGAAATTGAGATTTAATCTCCGAAACCCATTATAAAATTGATCTGATTGTTTTCTCTGGATTTTAATTTTTTTTCCCTGTTCTGTTTCTTTCTCATTGAACCTCGTCATCACACAGTGCCTGTTCTGTTCTATTCTCATTCCTCTGTATGGACATAAAATGCTGTTCTTTTACCCCATCATATATATCCTGTTTTTCGTGTGGGTGTTTTGCTTCCTGGTGGCATTTGATTTCACTACCCATGGGCGTCCTTGGGCTGTCAGACCCATCCACCCACTAACTGTAAAATTTGTATGTGAGAGAAAGAGAGTCTGGTGTTGATGTCATATGATAAATTACTCTTGCATCAACTACTGCATACTCAATCATCCTGTTCACTTCACAGTGCTCATAGTCTGCAGTTATTCTCTCATACCCCCCCCCCCCCAAAAAAAATAAATTAAATATCCCTTACAGTCATGATATTTTTGTTTTCTTCTAATTCCAGTCCAGGGGCCCGTTCGTCGTACCTCTCATCTGAGATGATTTGAAAGATGCCAGGTCTTCTAATCGTGATAACTAATCACTGGCTAATTTGGTTCTTCAAACGAATCTGTGGATCGGATTAAAATATCTGGATTAAGTTGTCTAAGATTACTGAGCATTCTCGTATTCCCCATAAAGGACGGATCAATACTCGAAACCACGATCAGCAGTGCAACAATTGGCTGGCGGCAAGACAGCAACGTAATGACATAATATAATTAAAGACACCTGACGAAACTTTGCAAATTTCTGGACCTTTATAAGGAAACAGCCAAGTGAACAAAACTACATAAATGTTATAATATATAAATAAAATGTGCACTGTTTTTATTTTATTTTATTTTTACATGATTCCCAATTATTTATATTCACGATTTCTAGTATTTGTACAGGCATTGCATTTTTATTTCAATGTTGTAATTAGCAATTCATGTAATTTTATCTTTGAAGCAGATTTGTTATGTAACAGCATAAATTAA